GTTCATTCCAGCTAATAATACTGCCTAATATGTGCGTATTTTGATACAATAGTAACAAACATATCAATAACCTTGCTTTTTCATGAAAATTTTCAAGGCTACCTAAGCATAGTAATACCACCATGCTGAAATGTAATTTACAACAAAGTACACAATGTACACATGCAGTAGATGTTTAGGTACAAAGGCCTGCAACAAGCATATCAATGTACAGTATGCATGCCAACAATCACAGACAACCATGCCAGAAACATGCACATGAAATTCTATTTCATGAAGCTGCAAAAAACTATACTTGTATAAACCCCCCTGAAAAAAATTCCACTTTCAAACATCTTAGCTACCACAGGTCAACCATATATCAACAGATGTTATTTTTTATTCCAATTTTAAAGAAAACCTTCCCACAATACACTGAAATATACAATAATGATTACAAAGAGCTTTCAGGAAATGCCACAACACACCCTACTTTCACAAATGCTGTGTTACGGATAGGAACAACAAAATACACACTGTCTAGCAAGCACCGTCAATACAATCAGCCATGCTAAAAACTCCATAGACATTAAATTTAACATGACAATAACCTATCTAAAGGTTTTGTAGAAGAAGAGGGGTGAAATACAATTAGAATACAGCAATAAGCTGTTACAATGAGAAAACAAGGACAGTTACACAAAACTACTTCAACTACCACTTTAACAACCATCAATAAAACTAACATTACACAAAGTGACCTTCTAACATTTTTCTCCAGACATTAATAAAAGTTATAAGAGATGTTTAGTTCACATTTTCTATTCAAATAAGTTCATTCTTCACGCTATTACTGATACATGACCAGATTATCAGTCAGAAAAGCATCGAGGAGTAGACCATAGTGGTTTTTTGTTTTGTTTTTTGGGGGTTGCCCTATTCTATATTTATTTACAGGGCATTCTTCACTTACAATGGTAAGGGCAGGGTTAGGAGAAACGGATTATGCTTTTAATCTGTTGACCGCCATTGTCAACAACTATCTGAAAAATTATTTTGTATAGTCTGCACCTTCTAAACATAAAATGTTGCTAAAAATTGATAAACCTTTTAACCAAAAACTAAAAGCAATATCTGAAACACTATCTTCCTAAGTGATGATGAAATTTAGTGAAAATTTGTACAAAATGCGAAAATATTTGCACTGAATTTTGGGCGAGAAAGATATCTGGCACTGAAAGGGTTAAACAACTGTTGACACATCTATCCAGTCACCCATCACCTACCCACCCACCCATCCATCAAAATAATGGTTTATTCCATTTAAAACTAAATCGATAAAAGGGTAAATTCTACTGGTAACAGATCCCTTTTATAAAATACGATAATAATAATGGTATTATAACAATATTATAGACAGCAAAGTGGATTATTCTTGTACTGTGAATTGATTAAAATTTTAGGATTTGGGATAACTAAAGAATTCCACCTAAATTTATTATTCCATACACGGTTAAATCCATGGTATTCTATTGTGTCACATACAACATCAACTCAAACACCTGCAAACTTATCTGCGTCTGACTTGCTTCAGTAAATATTGCTGTATTTATAGAAAAGTCAGTGTTGGATGACTAATACCATGATTCAGATTCGTATTTGCTGTAATAGAAATGCACCACCGATAGAAATGCACATCAACCAAAAACTGTGTTTACTGGACAACTAAATAATGACTTTATTGTTCACAAATATGGGGTTTAGATTGAGAATACCCATTAGGTATTTACCTATGTGAAATTGGTGCACGTTCAACGCTACAAATATACTCGCATGCACAGTATCATCTATTGAAAATAAATTTGTAAATATTGCATATAATACTTGATTATGTCCATAGAACACAGCATTTATTGCCTGAATTCTCGACCACTCAACTTCTAATATTTTACACAACATATTTATCACAGAACCTCTACAGAAACAATCACACTCTAACTGGAATAATTCCCCAGCCTGTAGGTACATAAGCATGCATCATCCAAAAAAGGTTTCCCAAACGATACACAATGTATTTTTAAATACCAATTAGAGCAGTAATACAACCAGCAATGATTTCCTTCTCAAATGATGATGAGATCCAATTTGTGGAAACGGATCTCACAGAAACACAGTTTCTAATATCAGTTTGTAGAGAGTAGCATATGGAAGGAGAATGCATTTATTATACCTAGCATGCTTCAAATAAGCTGGCAACACACGTTTTGAGATCATATCTCAACCCTTCTCCTTATACACACACAAGATGCACAGCATATTAACAGTAATATTTGTTGATGTGGAAAGTCTAGACCACACATGTAGATGAAAAGTGCAAGCATTCGCATAAATGGTCTGATTAGTTACCTGTAAATTTTATCGAGACAAAGTTGTGTACTTTTAATGCAAGTTCAGCTTACATTTTAATCATTTCTTAAACTAAAAATCGCTGGATCACTGAAATATTACTTATTTTGACCATATAAACACCTCACTATTTTATGCAAGCGTGTGCGCTACTAATAGTGCAAATACGGTGCCAGTGCATTAATAATTGCTATGAATATCACGGCAAATTTTAGCCACAGAATAGTAGACATGTGATGAAGCGGATGAAATTGTATACACATGCATCATGTTGTCATCACTAATTCCATTGCCCAGGATGAGAATCTGACTCACACTATCATGCCCCACCCAGTTATTTAACATCACAGTTGATATCTAATCACTTTCTAATAACCATATATCTACTGCAATAGACAATTCTTTATCTTTCCTGGTATTACTCACTCTTACCAATCTTTCTTGACACGGCTGCCCTATTTCAAGCATGGGTAAACTATGTTCATGCTTGAACTGCAACCCACTTCCTACTCAAAACAATAAGCCAGAGTAGTGTCAAGTTACCCTAAATTTCCTGCTGTACTAAAAACACACACTTAACCTCCTTGACCTCGCACTTCAAAAAATTTTTTGATTAAACCACATCCAGTCAGTTGAAGCTGGACCAATTCGACCCTTAGCGCCTATCTACATATTTTCTGACTCCAACCAATGGCATGATACATTTATACCCCTATCGCACTTTCGGCCTCGTACCATATACTTTTTCAACCAATAACACCGTGGCATACTCAACTGGAAGGCATCAAAAATTAGTTTAATCAAAAATCATCAACAATTTCCAGCGAATAAATCCATCTGGTGAAGCTTATTTCCCCTTTTAAGGAAACATCACAATGGCACCAAGTGTCTGACTTATGTTTAGATCAATTCCCAGAACCAACATGTACTTCATAATTGTAACCACACTGGGAGCATTATCATCTAATTTTACCACACAAGTTGAAAAAAACGGAACTTGCTTTATTTTTACTGGTTTTTTACAGCAGGCTGAAGCAATCACAATTTTAACCAAGTAATGGGGCCTTTGAACAAATAAAGAATGATTATGCCAACACACATTTGGGACGAAAACCTCCTGAAACTTTGCTAAAATAATCATTGTGATAAACTATTTTAAATTATGAATAACTTGAGTACTGGAACCAACTTCTGAATTATGAACTTAAAATGCAACCATTTTCGCTAATTTCCATTTCCAAATAGTCGCTTCAGAAACAAGTTGGAAAAAAGTTGGGTTAACTCCAATTTTTATTTTTATTTATGGAGAAAAAAAATGTCATTTGAATTATGTTAGAATTCTTCCTACTTCAACAAGTAATTGAAAAATTACAATCTTAATTGAATAATTACAAATTCATTGGACGAACAACTCAAATGACACTTCATCATTACCAAAAGTCAAATCCTATGTAATCAATATAGAAATGCTCCGAGAAGATGAACGTATTGAGTAGTCACATTTCAAGGAAGCACAAGTTCCAATACAAATCAAACATCACAAGTTTAACCTGTTTTCCTTCATATGACAAGTGGAATATCCTCTCCTTACAAGCATGCAATAGAAGAGATCATTAAAAGCTAAAACAAAAATCAATGCAACTTTACTACTGATAGAGATCACCAATTTGTTGTTTTATGGTCATGATCAGTGTAATTTAACCAATTGTGTGAGAAGCATACATCTTAGAATTTATTTGCATTCTTCGGTCAGGAATGCATTAGTACATGTATTCCATATTTGCTCCATTAGAAGCATATCATTAATAAAGTATACTAAGATACATTACTGTACGTTGGATCATTATAATACAAATTACTTTTGGACAATAAACATACATCTAGGAAAATTAGCTAGTAAATAATACTACATCAAGACAACACCTGTTGCCACGGTTAGTTGATTTAATCACAGTACAGTTTTCTCGCTGTCGAACCAAAGTTTAATAATTTAAATCGCTTTTTTTTAATTCTTGTCATTCAATTACAACAAGACAGAAGTAATAGCAATAGCGGCAGTAACTGAAACAAAATTAGGGAAGTACGGAGATTGTTGCACTTCCTAATGAAAGCTTAAAACTGCAATGGTAATTACAAGTTCTATAAACATTAAAGCGAGAGGGTCATCAACTGCGCACGCGCAGGAATCAAGTTCCAAGCGACGATAACACACACTAAAAGCGCAAAGGCTCATGGGTAGATGCTTGTTTGTAAACAATGACACGCTATGGCCATCTGACGCATGCGCAGGTGACAACTCCACCGCTTTAAACGCATTTCTTTTTTATTGCCAACAAAATTATTGGGAAAACACTGGTACATATACCACCGTACTGTATTCGGATATCAGAGATCATAATTACCGGTAGGATACTAATATACATAATTACAATCTTACAGATGAATATTTATATCAACCATAACATATCAAACCACAGAGATGCACAATATATATACACAGCCATAGTTTTTAGACAATGCTTATAGATTACATAATGGAACCCACTCATCAACTTACACTAAAATACAGACACGCATCCTGTCAAGTCTAACACTATTCCTTCATTGACACTCACCTTAAAGGACCACTGTTAAAACACAAATCTGGTAATCCTGTTGTTAAAAATAAACTGGGGTAAAATCCTCCAGATTCCTCTGGATGGCTGGCTGGCTGGCTGTCAGTCTGTCTGTCAACAACAGTGACCTGGAACAGAATGGTACAAGTCAGCATGTGGATACATAATTGAAATAATGAACAAAAAATAATTATTAAGTAATCTGAACAAATATTTTTCATCTGCATAATACTGTGAAGAACAAAACAACCAAGCAAGCAAGCAAGCAATACAATACTAATAAACTAAGACTACCGGTATTGTCATATTTTTAAGCAATATCAAATTACTCATCCCTGTGGGAAATATTTTACATTTGTTATACAAGAATGCTCAGTAAACAAAAACATATTCAATGAGTTATAGCCTTTAGTTATATCATTCATATCACAAGTCTTAAGAAAAATTATATTTAGAATAAGAATAGAGCTGTGCTTCCAATATTAACTCAAATAGAAGTGCCATAGACCAAATATTGCACTTATTCATTGTACGGTATACTTAGAAACAAATAATGTACATTATATGCGTTGTATACGTAGATATGGGTCCCATATCAAACGCATGCTGAGCGCTGACTTAACACTTTGGAAATAACTTTACTGTATTTGCTTTATTAGAAGTACATCTCCAATAGAAGCACACATACACCAAAAATTACATTTATTAAAAACTGGATCACTCAAATACGACTTATTATGATCTGCTTTACTAATGAACCTAATACGGTATCTACCAGACACTTTTGACATATACATAATGGCATGTGCTATTAATAGAAAATGGAATTGGAATACAAACTAATCATTACAATCCCAATTACCAATGTTAAACAGCATGTTTTATCACTGACATCAAAAATCTACAACTTCTCAACATAAATTTTGAATATCTAAATATTTCAAGCTCTTCACTGATCAAAGGACAAATAAGATGTTTCTGTAGCTTACTTGTACAGTACCCAACATAATTATTAGCTTTTTTATTAATATCATTAATAATTACAAATAAACTTTCAATTTTTTTTATTGATATAATATTTAAGTTTGAACAATTGAATATAACATATCTGAGTTATTTTGAGTGCAACAAATTTTCCAGACAGGAATGACAAGGACATTTTTTTTTATCTCACAATGCTGTGATGTGGAGTGGTAGCTTGCGCATTTTCAGCTTGCATCGACTAAAGTGGACTAGATATATGCTTTAGACAAATACAAAACAGTGAAATTCACTGATAATTATATTTGTGTTCTAGCACAGCAATAATCTGCACACAGATCATTTAGTCAAAATGTAAGGTAAACACTCGAGATTGTCCCCAATTATGATGCTAATCTCTACTGTCCTGGTATTGGTTCTACTGCCTGACATGTGTCACAGTACGGCTATCCTGTGGTACAAGGATAAAATGCAATTTGAATGGAATGTCATTGACACAATGAAAAGACTTGCTTCATACAATTAGAGGTTATGCTTAAAGGCATAGTGGTATTTGGCGTCTAAATTGCAATAAACAAAATACAATTTAAAATCACCATTCAGGTGTCAGAATATCCAAGGTTTTAGTACTGTTAAATATTTTATTTTAGCTGGAATTAATTTTCGGTGAAAAGACTTTTTGGGGATTTTGTATGGAATTTATTTTCACTGATTTTTATATAGGGGAAAAAGGTATTTCCGCTGGATTTTATTTTCACTAAATCATTCCTTCAGCAAAAATAATGAAAATAAATTATTCTACAGCAACATAAATTGAAAATCAAATCATCACAAAAATTATGTATACTTTTAACTTATAAGAAGAGTAAAGTCCACCTTCCAACATCCATCAAATTTAACAGAATTTTTATAATTATTCAACAGATACATTTTTTTTTAATTTATAAATAAAAGGTACCCCATTAGAAACTATGGGAGGCAATGGCAGAAAAAATAAGCAAAATATTTTTTCCCCTTTACTTTTGTGCTATTTTTTTTTCAATGATTATTCAATTTGCTGTAATTTTTTTTATTTCTTCTACGTGTAAAATGTTTTCTCTCAGAAATAGGCGTGCAGATTTTTTTCCTGTAGGATTTTTTTTTCTGTGCAAGTTCTGCCATTGCCACCCACTAATGGGCCACCCCCTAACCGCAATGTCTAAAACATTTCCCTAGATTCCAAAGTATTAGTAGTTTCCAAATTAACCCCACAAGCTATGGATAGCGAATTTGACAACTATGCATAAACAAACCAAGGTGTAAAACTGTGCAAGTCAAAGGTCATCCTATTCCCCTAGACTACCGGGGGTACTTTGGATATGGCAAGGCATTTCATATTTGCTGACCGCATAACTTGGCCTTTTCAAAGTATTTAACTGATTTGGACATGATATTCTACAACTCAAGTGATTAAAATCGTGATTGACTAGTCTGGGAATGGGATTTCCATACAATGGATTAGTGACCTGGAATGTGTGTGTGACAAGTCAACAGATTTGAGTTGCTTACTTTTTAGCCCTCTCCAGCCCAAGGCATAAACTAAGGTTACACGATAATTAGATGTCTTGTCTATATTTACTATAGACTTCACTGAGCTGAGCTGTAATTAGCTTGTTTAGCACTTCATCTTTCAACAAATTATACTCGCAATCAATCAGTGCAAGATATTGTTGATTATAAAATGCAGTTTGCATATAAATGCAGGTGCATGATTCCAATAATGCAACTATGGTAGGAAATGTCTATCTAGTTAAAGATACTTGGAAATTTGAACTACGGAAGAAGAATTTAATAAAAAAAAATCATTAGCATGAATTATAAGACTGCAACAGGATTGCAATTGCATTCATATTAAATTCCAATGTCAAACCCTGGGTCAGAATGGTGCTGTGATTATTTTGGAAAGATGATTATCCGGTATCCTTCATATGAACTTGGGTAAAACAATAAAGCAACAAGTTTTTAAATGTTATGTAGGAAAATATATAATTCAGTAATAATCTCCCAACCCAGAATTGAATTCATGAACATATTCTAGAAATAGTGACAAGGTGATGTACCTGACTGGAGAGGGAGGGGCATGGTCACACTTGACTAGGGATAATTCAATGTACAGGTACAGGTACGACAAGACCTAGGTATGTGCAGTAAAGCATGACTGAGAAGTAACCTGCCATGCATACACAATGATGAACGTCCAGTAACCTGTCACAGACAATTAAAATTGCCATTAATTTCATAAATGATTCAATCGATTAACAATAATTTTGTCTCTGGTTCTCAAATACTGTAAAATACTTTATTTTCGCTTAGAATTAATTTTCGCTGAAGGAGTGATTCATCAAAAATAAAATCCAGCGAATATACCTTTTTTCTTATATTTTACATTCAACTCACCAAAAATCAGTGAAAATAAATTCCATACAAAACACCCAAAAAGTATTTTCACCGAAAATTAATTCCAGTGAAAATAAATTATTTCACAGTATACAAGAATCCATCAGAATCTATGCGTGTCAAAATTGTGATTTGAGATTTATTAAAAAAAAAAATTAATTGTCAGCACCAATATATCATTAAAGATTAGATATTGACATATTTTGGCACATGTAACATCAGACAAGACATTCCATAATAATGAAAACTGAATAAATATTATATACATCTTGAACTTAAAAATTTGGTATGTTTTGTAAAAAGAGAAAAACAATCCCTATGTAATGAATCCCAGGTTTTATTGATTATAGTTTTTCCACATTTTTCAGCTGCTCAGACTTTGTAAAGTATGATATCTCATTACCAGACAGTTGTAGTTTGTCTAAATTTAGACTGACTAGATTTCAATTTGGTCCAATAGCAATGCCACCTGTGGGGTCACTGACATCATTGGAACACTATTTTATAATGCTTGAACATGGCAATGAAGGGGAACGGAGAGTTGGCTTTAGAAATTCTAATGCAACAAACGTAGAAGATAAAACGTTGTTTTTACGTGAAAACTTGTTGTGGTGATAGCCTTCAGAATTGCTGAAACATCCAAACTATTTCCCACTATGTTTTCAACAGACTCTACCTACAATAGCAATTTCCTGTGAGGAAACAAATACATTCCAACCACACTCGAAAGTCGGGAGATTGTCGTAATCAACTGGTTCATTGTCTAGAATTAACCTGATATTTTTTTACAACTCTTAAACTGGTAGGAGAAGAAACCAGTCACCAAAATAAAGGAGTGGCCTCGGACGGTATAAAAATAAACCAACATGGCGTCAAGTTTGCCCCAATCACAACTGTGAGAGGTTTCCACGCTTCCAGGCAACTTGTTTTTTTGTTGCTTGGCCCACAAGAGTTACCCTACTGCACGACGGGTTGCGGCTAGCCAATATTTAAATGTGTCGACAACTGATAAAGGAATTAAACTAGTTAGCGGGTCCCAGGGTCATGACAGCGCCCAACTGCAGCACGAATGCTTTACCTAGACCTACCCCCAAACACTGTCATCGTTCGAATGACAAGTTAAACCAGTTACAAAATGGCTAAAATATCGCAATTCTGCGATGAAATATTTAAAACAAATTGTTTAACATAGTTGGTCGCTCTGGGGGCAATTGTGAAAGATAACATCGCTTCTCGGCCACCACAATACAAGCATACAATTATGCAAATAGAACACCAATTCAAAAAATCGCACCTAAAGTACGATCATTTGCGCCCAACGAGCGACATATTGTGTTCAAAAAGCAAGACAGTATATACTAAATAGAATCCACAAGTATCCAAGAATGGCGACAGTCGGATGTCAAATCAAGATAGCACTTACCGGCTGGGTTAAAAGCAACTAAAAGCGTACGATGTGCGGCTAAATGTGGACCGTTTGTGTAGTATGGAGGCACGCCATTAGACGAATACCCACCTGTCAATCATGTCAACCACACCCCTGGCTGTTACATCACTATTGCAGCTTCCCCCCGTAAAGGCGCTCGAATACAGATCCGCATCACAGCGTGGTCAATATACCACCAAGTTGTTTACAAACCATTGTCAGGATGTAGAAATGAATTACATATCCGTCATATAAATATGTTGAATATTATACTGCCACTTTTAGACCGCTTTATATTTCTAGGGTTGGGCAATTCCACAAATATTTCCCATTGCATACAATATGTATCATTCTGTCGTAGTTCATTCAAGGTGCCATACCATAGCCCAGTCCCGGAAGCTCAGTTAAAATAAAGGCAGAGTGCTATTGAACATTTCAAAAATACGTCACTTTCTGTACTGTTAATTTAATGTGCTAGTTGATGTTATTGGCTGAAGAAATTCAATAAAACTTATCGTGGTCGCCGTAGAAAGTTGATGTACAATACAGCATTTTAACATTGTGTTCTAATCTCACAACATCCAAATCAATCGCAATGACAAAATATGGCTGTTTTTTTATTTTTATTTTGTGGATATTAATTATAATTTTCACTGCCATAATGATATACGCTAAAATATGCACACATGTCAAGACGCATACCGGAGACCATGGGGTTGTTAGTAATATTATTTTTCAGTTCATACATTTTTTTTCACTAAATTAAAAACACAATAGAAAACAATAGACAAAGTAGTCTTTTGAACAACAACAACAATGGTATCCTATTATTCTATGGTTTTGGGTCAATATTACATCCAACTTAGAGGGCGCACCGCACTGTATCTTGGCACCTCAATCCTGAATCATAAACCCGAGGATTTATGCTTGAAGGCGAACTTTTCAGGTCTCAATGGCTTCTTGGAACTTATTGATTACAAATAATTAGACTTATGTAACATCCGCATGGTTACTATCTAATTGTGGCGTGTAAACCCTCCAGTTAGGTCTAATCATGGACGGTACTAACGTTAGTACCTTCCATGGTCTATTTCAACTGCATGTTTACTTACTGGACTAAACTCTACGGGAGACAAGGGGGGCAAAATAACAGAATAATCGTGTAAACAACATAAACAGTGATTTTCAGCTTCTTTTTCAGAAATGAGCTAACCCCTTGAACTAACTAGTTAAAATGTCGCCCAAAATAAGAGCAGTATAAATTATTGGTATTTCGATGCGTGGAAGGTTTCATCATTAAATAAATGGAAACGACTTTCTGTTTTCCTCAGAGTGTTGCATTGCAAACCTACTCTGATGGCCATTTTGAATCGAATATTGGTCAAAGTACAATGTACATATTTACAGTTGAGGTTTATAATTCAAAAAATTAATACAAGTATCCCAAATTTATCTTCAGACTAAAGGCCAGTCTTAGGGAATAGTTTAGCAAACTACCAATAAAGTCTCTGTGTCTAAATTTCAGTTGTATCGAAGCATATCTGCACGGCAGAATCTGATGTGCCTAAAAAAACCGCCAACAAATAAGATGCTCTCTGATTGGTCTACTGTTATAGTTAAGTAGCCAATCAGGCACAATCTTGTAAGTAACTTCGTATTGACTCTGTGTGTTGCCCGCGCCCATCCTTAAATTGCCTGGCTCATACGTAATAGTGAAGGACTGTTTTGACGTGCCTGCGTTTTTTACAACAATTACAGTCTGTCGTGCTTTAATACTGCCAGGGACAATTGAGTTGAAGTCATTTGACCGTTACGTGACCAGACATTCATTATATGTTATATTGTTGTTGGGCGTGTACCATCGAAGAACTCATAAAATAAAGAACGGGAACAATTATTTTGACTTTTATTTTTTTTGACGGTTACGCAATTGCACGTGTTTATTTCGTGATTGCATCGTGAGATTTGCGTTCTTACACAGTCCCTCGACTGTGGTTCATAGCACTATTAGCAACCGGTTTCTAATTACAACACTAATATAACTTCGCCACAGTAGCCGCCTTAATAAATCTTCAAATATGTTTGATACAAGTACATGCTCAAGTTTACTTGTACTAGTTTGAACGAATTGCGCTGTGGTCATGGTCACGGTGTTTTGATTATAATTTTGAAGGTATGTGTTCCACAAATCTGTACGCTTTGCCTGATCTGCGTTTCTTCAGACACAATAGATCACGAGAGCGTCGAAGACACATTAACATATTACATGGCCCGTAAATCACGCTTGAAACTTTTCCCGTGCCATCAAGTCAGAGTAAACGATCCAGCAACTTGTTTACATAGTCGTGACAGTAAACATTGTCATCAATCAGCAAGAGAATTAAAATTCGATTTCTTGTGAGGTAATTTACTATGTGGCAACACCACATGACGTGTACATCTACGTTATACCCGGGGGTATATCCCAAGGCTGTTGTTGTACCTTGGCTTATATTCACAGATAAATTTTGTTCTCGACGTCTACACATATTATAGTTACAGCAGTCAACACAAACCGGTACCAACTTGTCGCTGGGAGCGCTGTTCTAAATTATACGGGGCAGCGAAAATGAAAAAAGAAAGCACTCTTTTCACCTCTGGAGAAGATACGATGTGTTTCATTGATAATATTAGTCTCAGCTAATTGTTTCAAGTTGTATCATTGTATATGCTGTTTCTACGACACCCAAGGAATTCTAGTAAGGGTACCAACAAGACGTGGCAGCATATTATTCAAATAATATACCACTACGTATTTTAGGACACAACGATTGATTTGCGTTTCCCCATTTTTTTGAGAAAACGACGCCCGCCTGATTCGTTTTATTTTGGTGTCATAAAAAGGACATGGCTTTGCGCGATATACTGATCACCAAATCACGCGTGTTGGTCAAGGAAAACGGGGATGTTTGTTTTGGTAATTTATACTTTCCCTTATACTGACTGGATGTAACAAAAAAATAAAATACATTCACTATGAACGTAATAACATTTAGTCCGCCCATGCATCTACTAAACAGGACTGTGAGACACCAACCCCCGCTACAACAACACATCATTTGAAATAACTTCACGGCCATTGATACGTATAACCCCGACGTATAACCACCCAATTTTGAAGTATACCACCTGTTACTTCCACTATGACAAGTTGAAGTGTACAGAATGCAGTCGAACACAACTTAGCAGCAACTCTCTGTTCGTGCAATGCATTCACGGTAGAATAAAATCGTCCGTCGTGGGATATTCGCGAAACCGACGACGAAACACAAAATGTTCTTACCGTAAAGCTACGAGTAACAGCAGAAGTACTGATGTGAAAATTTGCAACGCCTGGTAGACAACTACAAAACGATACCTGCTGCATTTAAGTTACACTGTTGTATTATGGGTAACAACTGCGGCCAGAACAACTGACTCAGGCCAGAACACCAAGAGGGAGTTCTAGAACCATCAAGTAAACATTCTAAAAACAAATAAAAACAAAAACTCGAAATCCCTTTTCCGACCGGACACATGGAGGCAGTTCTAGAACCACCCATGGGTAACTACCCGGAGAGTTCTAGAACTCCGCGTAGAATTCAACTAGACATCTCCCACGATGAAAGTCAGAGGTTTGTTTTAATATTGAATCGAGCCCTGTTTTCTTTACATTAGCCAAGTCAGTCAGGTGACTAGGCGCTTGACGAAAGCACAGTCCCCTTGTCTGTCTGGTGTTGAGCGACTATATGGCGTGGCGAAGGAATGCGATGTGTGACCCGCGATAAATAATTGCGTATATCATATCGGTGCAGTGTGCCATCGTGTAACTTTATTCGTCGCGTAGCGCGTGGATGGGGTAAATGTCATCGAGTTGCCCAATGTTTGGTGTGTGTGCGCGTGGTTTACAGAAATTGTAATTTAATTTATCAATAACTGGAACAGCCGTAATCACGTGACGTAAGTCATTCGCAGTGTTTTACAACACCCGTACATAACGAAAGTAGTGAGGTAGTGGCGTCTATATACGCCTGTGTGTTATTAACGTTGGGAATATGCATTGACACAAAATGTCACCAATATAGGCAATACGAATCTTGGGATACGTCTGTTGAAAGTTCTAGTAAAGGGCATTGTCCTCGTTCAATTTTCCTTTCCAGAAAAGTATATTCATAGAAATAAAACTTTGCGTGGGAGATTTTCTCCACCCGTTACCTGGAAATATACTGGCTGTAAGGCAGTGAACACGTGACACAAGCACGTATAGTTCATTGTGTCAATACATTTGTTTACATGTAATGAGTTCATAGTACGCCATCCAAGTGTTTTATTACAACAATTTCCTACCGAAAACGAAACAGCAATGGACGTTTTCAAAACGCTGTTTATTTAGTTAAACGAATTGAAACCTTTTTTTAAAATACAGTTCTATATTTAAAACATGAACAAACGAACATCTCTTCACTAACTATTATAGCGGACGGCAGTCATTAATCTCAGGCTGCACTTCATCGACTCCCCGATTTTGTCGGTTTTTTTTTTTTTTTTTTTTTTTGTTTTGTTGTTGTTGTTTAAATCCGAGTTTTCTGCGTTTCGTGATGTAAGAACGCGTAAGTGCACATCAACTTGGCCCTGAACTGTAAAGATGAAATCACACGACCGTCTGCAGTCGGCTAATTAAAATCGCTCGCGTAGTTGCAGCCATGGAACTATCCCTTTCTTGTAGCTCCATGTTGCAACTGTCGACCGACAGCTGACGGTGGGCAAGAAACATGTTTCATTTTCGCGTTCAGTCGGCCAACTTGTTAAACTGTCGGCCTACTCAAAGACATTGGAAAATGTCTTTGGTCTACTACAGTCGGTCATGTAATTTCATCTCAAGCTTAACAACATAAAGAGTTGGAAATGTGAACCCAAAATGCGCCAAACAGTTTACGTACAACATAGTTAATGCGACCATTGACACCAAGACGGCTTTCAATCTTATTATTATTGGAAGCGGCAATTGAAACCAAAGCGGTAGCCTAGAATTAAAACGCTTTCCAAGGTCTCCGGGATATACGAGCATGAAGCTCCATGATACACGAGTAAGT